TTTCATTAGGAACAATGCAAAAGGCCTTTTCAATTATATCCAGAAGCAAATTAAATAGATTATATATCCCTTGAAATCTCTTTCAGTGCTGCTGATGTTCCTGCATTCAGCAAGTTGGATTTTTAAAATCAGAGGAATTACTTCAGTTTCATAAGTATTAAATTTCTGGCGTGACCTGTAGAGTATGAGGAATCCTTCTGGTCCCAGCTAGCAGCTACATTATTCCCATGACAGAGACATCAGCTCTAACATAAGAAAGAAAATGTCTTTGAGTGAATCCCAGGATGGCAGCAGATGTCAAGTTAGTATTGTCAAAACATCTGCAAAGTACTCTGGAGGATTCAGGGATTTTGTTGTTTATTTTTTCCCCATTCTTCAAATATTTGACTCTAAACACTAATAAGATGTAGTTGCATTAGAGAAATAAGATTTGAGATGCTGCACTCCAGCAATTGTAACATGTCCAACTGTTCTTTTCCTTACTATGGGAAATGTGGGTATTTCTTCCATGATAGTATAAATTTCTAAAATTTTTTTCTCTATTTAATTCCTACCGCAAGTTTTCACTGCATTGTTACATATGATCACTTTATTACTTTGTGCCAAAAAATAAAATGCAGCTTTCTGTGACTGAACTAGGAGATCAGTTTTCTCCAATGGTTGCCAGCCTTAACAATTGCTAATTAATGCAGCTGAATTATGCAACTGTGTATTTTACTCAAAATAAGCTAAACTATGCAAATTATCAGGGTTTCTTGTTTCCGAGTCAGAAAACATTCTGAAAGGAAATCTTTTGCAGAGAAGGAGAGAATGACAGGTAAAGTAAATGAAGTGTGTCTGCTTATGAACAAGTATTTTATGCATAATTACTTCATACCTTTCAAATTAATTACATCATATTTGCCTGAAAATTACAGAAAAATGAAATAATGGACTTAGGGCATAAGAGACATAAGAGAGCAGAAAGGAGATGCCAGAGGCGGTATTCTTTGTTACTGTTTTGAGCAACAGTGTCATAACAGAAATCAAATACATATTCTTTTTATTTACCATTATAGCATCCCGGTATCATGCAAGAGTTTGGAGATAAGAATGGTCAAGAAGATGACAATTCTAGAATATGGATGCAGATCCCCAAGAAAAGGCCTACAAGGTCTGCTGGGCTTCTTACAAAGTAAAATAGAGAAAAAAGAAAGAGCTTCTAGGAAAGGTTCTGAAAGAGCAGGCAGAGGTAGCAGTGAGGATGGGAAAGGAGGACGCAAGTCAAGTGAGGAGAGAGTATGTAGGGTCGTTAGGGACAAAATTCTTTTCTATCCAAACCTAGGCTTTCTTGTCAGTACTGCCATATGTCTAATCAATAGTACTCTGAAACTACCTGTGGAATAAAATTGTGGCTATTAGTATAACCTTCATAAAAAGTGGAGGTATAAACCATGTTGCTTCAGAACAGTATGGTAGCTGCATGAGATGCTTAAACATAAGCCTGTTTTTTCCTGGTAATTTATTTGGAGAAGCTAGGAATATTTACTGCCACATGTACTGAACAATGCACGAACATTTCAGGAAGCATGAATCTGTGTTAGTATGAATCAAATTACAGATCATGAGGTTCTACTTTTTCTTTTCAGCAGCTGACTGAATAAGGGAGAGCATTTCATATTTTACTTTTTGATACTGTATTTCCTCTATGGCATAACCTTGAGTTAGCTTGAAAATGGTAAAATTGCCCAGTTCGGGGCAATTCTGACTTCAAAGGAAGAGCAATTAAAATGCTTATAAAAAAGGTAGAGGTCAGATCTGCGGAAATGGTCTGAATAGAGAATAGTAAACAAATCTCCTTCATTTCCACTAGCTCCTTAAGGAGTGTGTTTCTTTCTTCATGCTTCTGCTTTCCAGTTGATTCCTCCAAGTAGCTTGCTTCTATTCAAACTCCACAGGCTTTTTTTCTCCATCAGCCAGACTTGGCAAGGATTTACTCTCTGCCTCACAAGAGACCCTTGCTCCACTCATTCTGTGCTGCCTGACTAGCAGTGCTGCAGGTTTCTCCAGTGCTTCAGTGCTCACTCACCTGCTCTACTAGGGAGCAGTCACCCTTTCCCAGAAGATTTCTTCTGACCCAGAGCACCAGAGTCAGGACTACAGCTTTGTTGTCTTCTTTTCTCTAGTCAGTCTTTACTCTGTCAGCAATAAGTACCTGACAGAAAATGGAAAGAAACCAATTCTGGCATCTACCACAGCTTTCAATTTCATAGGAGAAATTTGTTGGCTTTTTGAGCAGATATAAAGAAATATATAGCTGTTGATAAAGGTATAAATAATAAAGTTTGAAAATAAGAATGTAAAAAATCTCCATGTAAGTGCTAGTCTTGTCTAAGTGAAAGTGGAAAAAATTTTTCGTCAGTTTCCTCTACAATCTATTTCCATTAGAAAACTCTTCTTTCCCCCCATGCCTTCAATAAATTTCATTCTGGGCTGAGGCAGGGTATTTCTGATCTCAGCTCTCCATCAGTGGTTGTTTTTACTGGTTTTCCAGAAAATTGATTGAGCTGACGATTTCGTGTTGCACAAAGGTTAAAAAGCTGTGGAGGGGAGGAAAAGAGGGTAGCTGCAGGAGTGTACTTCATGCAGTTGGTTTGTATTTCAGTTGTTGCTTTTTCTCTATACCAGTAGGATAAAGTAGTTTCTTTCTAGCATCATCTTACTCAGGGGTTAATTATAATTCTTTTTAGTGCATGAGATTCTGTGCATTGCCCCATCTGTAGCAAAATATTTCAACAGTGAATCTATCAGAGACAATGGTAGTTGTCAAAATGGAGTACAGTGTAAGATTATATACTGCATTATTTTTGAACAGTTTTTGTCTTGAGATATAGAAGTCACAACTTTGACTTTATGGCATACTGAGGTACTTGTTTTGTTTTGAGGTTTTGTTGTTTTCTTTCATTTTCTATTTTGTTTTCCAAATGATGGGTGTGGGAATCAAAATATTTGGAAGCACTAGGGCATTTTGAAAATATTTTTTTCCGAAAGATCACTAATATGAAATAAACGACCATTCTTATGACAGCTCAGTTTTCATCTAACTAGAATGGTAACACTGACAGATGAATTCTGAGTCTCTAATTATTTCTTCAAAGACAGCAAGAACTTTACTGTTGTGAGGACGTTTGGCTAGTAAAGCCACAGTCATCGACTTTGCCTGCTGTTCTGCATTGGTAGGAGCTTGCTTCCATGTACTTTCTTGAGCATGTTTCCCTGTTAATATTGCTAACATGCTGATTTAAAAGCTGATATAGCTTTTTGTATTGGGACTTTTTATTTGCTTGTTTGTTTGTTTGATGTTGCACCTATTTTTCATTATTATATGCATTTACTATTACGTATTAAATAATTATTTGCTTTTTCTATGGAGGGACAGAATATGTTTCAGATATGTTTAGAATGTGTCCACTGCACACAATCTCAGCCTCTTTGATGTACCTTAGAAAAACGCATGGCATGCTTATATGTCAGGTCTACTTAAGCTGTTGTCTTTCAGTCATCAGACCCTGAAGAAAGTCAAGCTTTAGCTGACCTACCCTGAAATAACCAATAAATTTGTCTTGAAGTCATTGTAAAGAAACCTGAAGAGTAGCCTTAGAAGACAACCAATTTAAGTGACATTTTTGCTAAATCTTCTCTGTGGCTGCTTATTTTGCTGTAATTCTTCCTGTGTTGACAGTACTTAGGGAGTCTTGTGATGGGTCAGAAACATCCAGATTTAGTAGCAAACAAACCACATTAAAGCTTCGTTTTTCTCACTGGACAGATATAAATGGTAGGTGAAAAAAATTCGAAGCCTTTGGGGACTTTTGAAAGAGTAGAGTGAGAACAGAATTAGGAACTGAGCATCTTGGTGGTTCTCACAAATCAAAGCAAATCTCTCCTGGTAATTACGATAGTCCACTTTTACTTGAACCTTCAGAGGCTTACGATAAAAATTCACTCACTGAAGACTGAAACCTGTCAATCCAAAGATTTGAACCTAACAGTGCTTTCCAAGTTACAGAGGCTTTGTTCACATAGGAGAATTACAGTGCTTACTTACCTCTGATAGTAGTGTTCCTGCACTGAAGAAGCAAACAAACAAAAAAATTAATATATGTGGATTTCTGAAATAGCATTATTCCATTATTGTAAAGAAATTAAATAGTTGGATGTTTTGATTGCTCATAAATAGAAAATGTGGATTAATCTGAATGCTTTAAAATATGTAAGATTTTAAAGTGTTAGCTAAAGTGTCATTTTGAATTGAAGTGATCTACCTCTTACTCTTCCTTTGTTGGCTTCATGCAAACAGAATTTTGTTATGAATGATTTTCTGATAGGTCAGATTTTTAGCTGCCATAAAAAAAGAAAAGTAAGACCACAATATTCAACTACCTCAAACCATAAAATGTGTTGCAAATGCATGTAGAACTTTGAATATATTCATAACCAGAAGTGCTCTAACAGTCTTCAGGAAAACTCATTAATTCAACCTCAATAGTAATAAGACAAGAGAGAAATCTGTAGGCAACCTATGCAGCACTAGATCTGTTAGTTGAAAATGCAGTTTGTTACTAGATGAAACAGAATTCTCAAGATTCACCCAAGCATGTAAATTCTTGGAAAAAAAAAATGCTTCTGGAGAGAAGTTATTTAAGGACTGCACAAAGCTATTAGATAGCAGAAATCAGTCACAACATTGGTTTTTCAGAACTTGACCAAATGTAAATGTTAAGTCCCTTAGGTTTTTAGGTTTACATACTTTAGAAGTAAATAAGTTCAGTATTCAGAAATTGCTAAACCCTCATGCTTCTTTCCACAGAGAAAACAATTATGTGTTAAGACAACTGTTTGTACCCCTGTATTCTTGGGTGTAACTTCCCTAGGATAATATATAGAGTCTCCTATGTAACAAGCCAAGCTTTGTTAATGGGCTGGGCTTTTTTACCTTTTTTTTTTTTTTTTCCTTCCAGCTCTACGGGACAACAGAATTGAGCTGGTTCGAGCTTCGTGGCATGAACTGAGTATCAGTGTCAGCGATGTGTCTCTGTCAGATGAAGGGCAGTACACCTGCTCTTTATTTACTATGCCTGTCAAAACCTCCAAGGCTTTTCTTACCGTTCTTGGTAAGTATGAATAACCGAGCGTGCTCACATTACAGAAACAAGCGTTGGCAAATAATGATATGAATGAATTCGTTTGAAGTTTTGCAGAAAAGCCATGTAAATATCTCAAGTCCCTGTAGTTAATTTTTTAATATGGCTATGCTGAAAAATAATGTGCCTCTTACTATTTGGGACAGGATAATGAATTAAGAAGTACACAAATGGCACAAAAGTAGTGCTTCATAACTTCTACATCCCAAGCACCAGAAATGTGAAGAAAGTGTGTATGTTCATCTCCCAGCAATGTACTTTAGAAAGCAAAAGGGAAGAAATCAGCCTGAAATCAAAACAATCATTAGAGCTTTATAGTTTTTCCTTTGCATTGCCTTTGCTTGGCTCATTCTGGTTTCTGCTTTTTGTCTGTAAAGTGCATATTTTCACTCAGTTTGCTGGTTCTTTTATGCTTTATCTTCTAAATGCTTTACTGTTTTCCCCATAGGTTATGGATACACATAGAAAAGCAATGGATTTCTAGAGGTGCCCAGGAAATAAAGTTTCTATTTGAAGCTTTACATAATTTGACAAATTTCAGTAGCTCAATCTGCTGAAATGGCTAGAGCTCATTGAAACCAAAATCCATACCTAAGAGATATGATTATAGAGACTGATTTTAATGCTTTTCTCCTTTTTATATCCCTCAACTAGACTCTTTCTTCTTTTTTTTTTTTTTTTTAAATTTTTTATATGTAGACAGGCAAACAGTTGAATTTAATAGGACTGATGTAAGATGTTCTCTGCACCAGTAATATTCAGATTAATATAGACAGGAAATTGCTTTTGCATATATGACCTGAAATATATATCCATTTCAGTCCACATGAGACCATTTTACAAAAATCTTTAGAAATTTGCCATTGAGAATGAAATATACCCTCTCAAAGCAGAATATGCAGGAGTAACATCTGCTTGAGGTTAATCTGTTTTTCTGTAGAGAGGCATCGCGTGATCTAAAGAACAGATGAGCAGACCAGTTCAAACTTGTAAATGAAAGAGAGACATAGAAAGGTGTTACAAAGACAGAAAAAACATCTCACCACTTTTATTAACCAGAGTTAACTTGATTTTCCACAGTTCATTTAGTTTTATGTTCGATTTGAGGAGTGTGAGAGGGGGTTAATGAAATTTTCCTGCCATCAACTACTTTACTTTCAAGAAGGAAAGATAAAATGTCAAAGATGCCTTTTTTTGGTTTTTATCTATCTATCTATCTATCTATCTATCTATCTATCTACCTATCTATCTATTTATTTATTTATTTATATTTTAGAATTGTTTCAAAGCAATATTTTAAGCTCTTGAAACTCTTTCCATTTGAGAATGGGACTTTTTTTCCATAGAAAAACATTCCATCTTTTTAATCAGATAAACCATCTTTTTATGTACTAATAATCTCTTTCTTGACGGTTCACATATGGATTAAAAGATTTAAGTGTCAAGGTACTATGGTAGACACCATTTTGTGTTCTCAAAGAGAGAAGTAGATTTATTACAGAAATGTATTTTGTGATATGTACTGCTGCTTGGTTTTTATGTACATAATCTGTCATTTTGGAAAAGTGATGTAAATGAGCCAAATTGTGAAATGCAGGTTATAAGATCAGGTGCTGTGACTAATCCATTTACCTTGCCATTAGTATGAATGCATCAAAGTTCTTCGGATGCGAGTTTTAACAGTGACGTTTTTAGACATCTTAAAATTACAATCTTCAGTATCATTTTAAAGTAAGTTATTCTTGTATTTGACAAAGTCAAATAGATTTATACATATGGCAATGACATTTCTGTAAACGCTACTCATAAATTTATTTATAATCTTTCATGGCTCATTGAAAAATAACTATTTCAAAAATTATTATAATATGTATGCTATTTCATGAATCCTAAGACCTCTTCCAAAGACCTTGGATTCAGCTAAAGAATTCTCAATAACCAATGGATTTGTGATTATACTTTTTTTTTCCCCTCATTATTGGTTCTCTGAAAATAATATAACTTCTGTGTTTGTTTTCATCCTCCTATTTCCCTGGGTTTTGTATTAAAACTTCATAATTCGTGCTTAAACATCTGTTCTCAACTTAGATCAGTTAGCTGTTTTTTGCCAGTTATTGTTTTTCTTCAGAGTTCTACTTCCAATATGCTTCCAGTGTACTTCAACATTTTCTTTACTGTGCAAACCAGTTTATAACCGGCTTGCAGAATATTTTTAGATAGAATACGTTCTAAGATACAAATTATCCATATTCCTTTGAAAACTGGATAAGTTCTCTTTTATTGATAGTTTATTTACAATAGAAATTTTAAATAAATCTTGATAAAAGACAATGAACTACTAATTCCATTTACAGAATTTAGAGTACATGAAGAAGTGAAATCTAAGGTGATCATATATTTATGGTAACAGTTGAACATATCAGATACGTTTTGTTTGTTTGTTGCTTGTTAGGTGTTCCTGAGAAGCCACAAATTACTGGATTTACTTCACCAGTTATGGAAGGCGAGAGAATGCAGCTAACTTGCAAGACATCTGGTAGCAAGCCAGCAGCTGATATCAGATGGTTCAAGAATGACAAAGAAGTTAAAGGTATTTAAAGGACTTTTGTGAAATTTGTTACACTTGTATAACTATGCTTATTTACAGTTATGTTTTTAATTCTTGTTTGTAAAAAAGTCTTTAATATTCAACTATCAAATGAATTAGTGATAGTATCTAGTTAAGGAATTGATTCTAAGTGACTCTAGTGGCCATGTAGCCACTATTTTATTTTTCTTTTCCAATAGTAAAAACTGATGTTTTGAACTGCTCTGAAATCTGTTTAGCGTATTTAACTCAAAGTAGATGTTTTATAGAGAAATATATTGTGAAATTAATATTGTCACAGCCATGACACTCACTCCAGATATTTTATCTTTTCCTTTATTTTTGCTTTTGTGATATGACATATGACATATTGATCAATTATTAGATTCATGTTATGCTTCTTTAAGTAAAATGACTGGCTGAGAAAGAGCTGTCTGGAGCAGACAGGATATTGCATTTCCCGTAGGGAGATACAGAGCCTGCTCAGGCGAGGAAGGGTCACGTTTTAGCCACTGAGAAAGTTACAAAACTGGGAATCAGCACCTGTGACAAGAATGCTGAGTGTCTGCAGGACTGAAGAGAGAGAGGAATACTTAAAAGGGCATGAAGCAGATTTCACAGGTTTTAGGTGACTAAAACCAAAGCAAGTATTGTTCTTTGAGTATCCAATAAAATAGGAAATAGTTGCATATGAAAACTAAGTATTTCTTTTCTGTCTTCTCTTTCCCTTTTTGTGTTCGTTATTCAAAAGTTACTTTCCCTTCCATATTTTTGTAAAACACAAGACAGCTTTAAAATCCTTTCTGGTGAATGAGTGGATAAAGCTTTCTATAAAAGAAGGCTACCTGATGTATTTTAATAAAAATTATAAGGTCTTGGCTTTTACTTAAGTCATGTCTATTTGTTCTACTACAAGACCAAATCAGTATATGATATGAAATCTAATATTTTTGCATAGCCATTTACAAAAACAAAAACAAACACACAAAAAACCCCACATTTTAATACAGTCTTGCTCCTGGTGAGGAATAAATGCATGCATCAGTACAGGTCAGCTGATGATCTGCTGGAGAGAAGCTCTGCAGAGAAGGACCTGGATGTCCTGGTGGAGAACAGGATGGCAATGAGCCAGTAGTTTGCCCTTGTGGCCAAGAAGGCCAATGGTATCCTGGGGTGCATTAAAAAGAGTGTGGTCAGCAAGTCAAGGGAGGTGATCCTTCTCTTCTACTCTGCCCCGGTGAGGCCACATTTAGAATAATGTATCTTATTCTGGCCTCCACAGTTCAAAAAAGACAGGGATCTCCTATAAGAGGTCCAGCAGAGGGCTGTAAAGATGATAAAGTGCTGGAGAATCTCCCATGTGAGGAATGACTGAGTAACCTGGTTCTGGTAAGCCTTGGAAAATGAAGGCTGAGGGGGGAATCTGATAAATATTTATAAATATCTAAAGAGAGGGGAGAGACAAATGTCTGAGGCCAGAATCTTCTCAGTGGTATGTAGCAATAAGACAAGGAGTAATGGCCTAAAACTTGAACAGGGGAAATTCCATACTAACATGCTAAAGAACTTCTGTTCTGCAAGGGTAACGGAACACTGGAACAGGTTTCCCAGAGAAGCTGTGGAGTCTTTTTCTATGGAGATTCTCAAGACCCTCTTGGACTCTACCTGTGTGATCTACTGTAGGGAATCTGCTTTAGCAGGGGGATTGGATTCAATGATTTCTTAAAGTCCCTTCCAACCCATGCAAATCTGTGATTTTATGATCAGCTTTGTCTCGTATTTGTCTGACGTTGTGATTTTTGTTAGATGAAATTATTGCCTCAAACAAAGTTGCAGCATTAATTAAAGAATTAATTAATCTACCTTTATTATTGTTTACCACAACCAAAGCTGATTTAACAGGAGGTGGTAATTGGTTGTCTGAGGAACGCAGTCCCTTTGAGAAGTGTCTTTATGTTTCTGATGAAAATCAAAGTTGTTTTATTGGAGACAGGAAGCTTAGGCTGAAATTATTTGAAATATATTTGAGCACTCTTAACAAGGAAAGAAAATGGGGAAGCACAGAATACCTTTATTCCTAGTTACTAGCAAATTTGAAGAAATTACTATATTTTTAAATCTGGTATAAGAACTTTGCCTTTCTTTCAGCTGTTATGTAATTGAAGCCAAACAAGCAGTTCAGTCATTTGTCTCTGTAGCAAATTTGTTCTTCTCCACAGTTTCTAAACGGACTTTTTTTTTATCTTAAGAGAGGGCAGAGGAGGGACAAAGGTTATGTGAAGAAGAATGGTAAAAGTGAAAAAAACAGAAATGAGAGGAAAGCACATTCATTTCAGTTTAGCTTTTCAGATCTTCTGAAGATCACATTGCCATTTTGCAAAGGTTAGAAATAAAATAACCTAACCAGTTTGCAGTGGCATCAGCAGAACTTACATTAGCTTTGTGCACTGTAAAAGGTGAAATGATAAATCTGAGAAAATAGATACGAAATTATATGCTAATGCAGCTGACATTAAAGGTTAGGAGTTCGTCTGTCTAGCACCAGTAAATCCAATCGTGTTACAGTGTATTATACATGGTGCAAAAGAATATAAATGATGCATTGAGTTCAGAGTTGCACCAAAGGGGAAAAAGCCATTCTAAAATTGTACCTCCATTGCTCAAAAAAGGAATAATGTGGTAAAAGAATACTGTTTGATGCAGTAAGTGCTAGTAATAAGACAGTGCGAAGCACTGAGTAGTGTGTCTTTTATTTTAGTGTTCTGTCTCATGTGAACCAAATTAACAAAGCAATCTGCACTCTAGCATTCTGGTGACATTTTAGAAGGAGATTATTAAAAGCAGAAATAAACGAGAAGCTAAATATGCAATTTTTATTTTTTTTTTTCCAACAAAACTTGTTACAGCTAATTTCAACAATAAAACATGAAATATGTCTTTCATGTTCCAGGAATATTTTTAAAGGATTTTTTTTTCCTAGGAAAATGAGACTTAAAAATATATAAGATAATGTCAATTGATTTGTTGTAACAAATTAAGATATTTTGAATAAGTTTATACATTTTAATATACAGTAAATATTCTGACAGACATCCAGTATTTTGTCTTAATTAATTTCCAAGTGGAGGATGAATTTTTTTTTAGGTAGAAATGCCATTTCATGATGACATTAAATGTAAATAAGAACTATATTTGCCTTTTAAAAACAGCAAAATGATCTTTTTCTGTTTATTATTTTCACCATCAAACATCTGTACTTGTGAGTTATAAGCTAGAATTAATAGTTAATATGAGGGTGTCTGTTTGTATGCCTGTCTGATAGTCATAGGTGATCCCCATAGTTGGTGTGGCCCAACCTCTTTTTGAAGGTTATATAAGATTGCTTAATGCCTTATCTGATTTGGTTTTGAAGAATCTCAAAGGACAGTTTCCACAGTTAGTCTGGGATAGAAGTTTCAAGTAATTGAGATGCGTTACTGAGGAGAGTTTTCATAATTTCATGAAACATGATCAGAATTTGTCTTGGCATAACTTGTGTTCATTGCCCCTCAGTTGTTGTTGTACAGCTCCAAGAAGGCTCTGGATTTTTCTTAAGAAATTCAAGACAGTAGTTTGTCTTCTATTCATCGGGTTGAACAAACCCAACTGTCTCCAACTTCTCATTGTAATCCAGTTAGTTGACATCTATACTGGAAAGTCCAAATTTTGGCTGATTATTCTAGATGCAGCTGCAAACATACTAAATAAAAGAGAATAATAATTTCTTCTTGCTTGCTATACTATTGCTACTATAGGACAATCCTTTTTCAACTCTCAACTCTGTAAAGGCACAGTGTTGATTAATGTTTAACTAGTACTCAATACCTCCAGTTCCACTTCCGTAAAACTGCTTTCACTTCAGGTATCCTCCAAATCCTTTGATTATAGTGATTTCCAGACAAAGTTCTTTTGTAATGAACATTTTTAAGCCTTTTTTTAGCTGACAAGAGTAGTAAGAAAAGTAAGCTAAAAAGCAGACTGCATAGGACATATTTATGAATTCTGTGAAAACCCTGGGTAAATATTTTGAAAGCTAGCATGGGGTTACATGCCCACTACCTGCTGTTTCTTTTCAGAAGGGCTCATGTTGTTAATAAAATAACTTTCTTTTGCTATGAAAAAACATCCAAGATACAGTTGATCAAGTGGGCTAGCTAAGTATTTCTGATGATAAGGATGTCAACTGCAACAATATTAGCACCATCTTTTTAGTAGAGGGAATTAAAGGTTTTACCCTCTAAATAAAGGGTGTCTAGGGAAAGACTTCTAAACACCTGCCTAGTAAATCAACTGTTTTTTTTGTTTTTTTTTTTTTTCCTGAGCGATTAAGTGTCCACAGCTTCTCACTGAACTGAAAGTTGTTGAAGTTCTCGGGAGCTTTCTGTCCTCCTAAAGTCAATAAGAAATTGATTGTATACATTGCTTACAAACATAAAGCAATCTGTGTAGGTGCTTGTTATTGAATTTCATACTTACTTCTTTGAACAAAATCCCAATTATGTGCCTCAAAAACTAGTGAAGAAATTTGTCGTTTGATTATAACTTTGCTTTAGCCCTGACCAGTATTTCTCTTATCTTCTTATTCCTAAATATTGATGGTCACCTTGTCAGAAATTTGAAATCTCTTAAAGTTTGGCAACCAAAAGGCAAAAAAATGTTTGTATGCAATAAATAATTTTGTCTTAGGAAAAAAGTAGAAAATGTATATGGTGTCTTCATTTATCCAGAGACAATGAAAAAGAACATCTTTCTGATATCAGAGGTATTTTTATCTATAAACAAGTAGCTTAAGCCATTTAATATTTGCTTTCTAATATGGATATTTAATGCAAATTTTATTTAGGTCATATTCTTTTCTAATGGGATTTAACATAATTTATAAAGCTGAAACCTCTCGTGTTTTCATTTATTTAGGACACAGAAGATGTATGCAATCTCAGTGTAATTTCATATATATATTTATGTATTTGTGTATATATCTTTTATATCCTTCCTTGTCATAAATATAGCAAGCTTATGATTTTACTGAAATAAACAAATCAATAACTACTATAAATAGATGGGATCCAAGTAAACCAGTTCTCATATCTATGTAAGAAAAGTTATTAATAATAATAATAACAATAACTTTTAAAAATAAATGCTTAGTCTTTTGGTTCTCCAGTTCTAATGTAAGTTGTTTGTCCTACAGTGAAATTTACTGAGTCTAAACCTTAACTTCAAGCTGAATTGAATTCTTAATCATGGTGGTAGGATCCCAACACAGTTGTATCTGGATTGAAAGCTAGCACAGATTTTTAATGGGCTCTGCTCTGAAAGAGTAAGCCAGTGAGTAATGATAAAAAGCACTGAGTGGAAAGTATCTTTGAAGTAATTTTATTTCCAGTGTTCTTGGGATGCATCTGTACATCCCAATAAATACTATGAGATATTATAATAATATCATATCATATTATATCATGTAATGTAATGTAATGTAATGTAATGTAATATATCATATCATATCATATCATATCATATCATATCATATCATATCATAATACTATCTCTATTTTTTCATCAACTTTAATATATATATATTTTGGTTTAGTTTAATTAATAAATTAGTATGATTCTAGCCAAAAAACAAAATAAGCAATTAATAAAGTAAGCATGAGTTTGATGTATTGCAACTCTTTGTTTGGATTCAGTGATATGCATTACAAAGATGGATGTAGAATATTTAACATTTAGTGACACTGTGAATATATTAGGGAAGTGAGAGTGGGAGTAGACTACACTTTTCTAATGAACTGTGGTTTATATAAGATTTGGACCTAAACATGAGAGAATCATGAAAGCAATTGCCCTCTGAGTGCAGTATCAAGTAACTGATTTTGAATTTTTGAATTTTTGAATTTTTGAATGTACACCTTCTACTCTGGCAAAAGGAGAAAAGAGTAGAATAGCTACAGTTTAATTACTCATGTTTTAAAGAGGTCAATAAGTACATGAAATGTTTTTTGTTTTTTGTGTTTGTTTTTTTTTTTAAATAAGTTTGATAGGTAAATGTTGCTGTTTAATTTTGGACTCTTTCTGAAAATATTGGGAACAGAAATGTTTATTTTTTTCTTTCAGATGTTAAATATTTAAAAGAAGAAGATGCAACTCGTAAAACATTCACAGTCAGCAGCACACTGGATTTCCTTGCAGATCGCAATGATGATGGTGCAGTTGTGAGCTGCAGAGTAGATCACGAATCCCTAAATGCTACACCTCAAATAGCAATGCAAGTTCTAGAAATACACTGTAAGTAATATACATTATATTTGCTTGCTTTTACAGTTTTGTTTTGTTTCAGAGTTTCTACTGCAGGAAATCTTTAAAATTTTCTGAGAACGGTAGGTATTGATAACACTTTTCTTTTAGCCAACCTCTTTTTTTTTAAATTTTATTTCAGAAATAACTCTGAAAAGATTAGTGTATTAAGTTCCTGGTTTTCTTTACAAATAGTAAAGAGGAAGTGCATTTGTCTTCTCCATTTATCATTGTAGTAATGTCAAAGTAAGCTGTAGTATCAAGATCATAGAAGTTCATCACAGCGCCCTTTGTCCAACCTTTAGCTGTTTTTCCCCAATTTGACAATTTTCCATTGCTTGTTGTGCCATAATGAGCAACTTTCCAGCTTGATGCACTACAACTCAAAACAATATACATTAAATCCAAGAAAAAAGTCCTTGTACCTGGTAGATGCAAAGATATTGTGACTTCAATGCTTTTATGAAGCAGGATCACTGAGAAAAACAAGGCTGCTTGCACACCAAAGCTAAACTGGAAAGTTTTGGATCTAGCACTCACTGATTCCTTTTGCTAAACTAATATATTGGTCCTTAAAGTAATATACTGATACCTATTGCTAAACCAGCCTTAAGCTCAAAATTTAGGCATATTCAAAGTTGAATAAGCCTGCCTATGTGTCTGTGTGCAGTAGTCTGAAGTCATGTCCTTTGAGTCACTTTCTTTGCTTTTACAAACTATGAGGAACTCAGGAGAACAGCTTTTCACCATCAGGTGACATTTACATATTCACTTGCACTGTAATCACCATTCTGTATACTGTTATGTATACATTTCTGAAGAACATCAGTGTTTGTTTGCCATCTAGGGAAAGAGATGTCTGCAAAATATTACCAGATCAAGTGAAGGGTAGAGACCTTTCACAGGTCTGTTTCTAGGGTAAATGTAAGCAAAGGAACTTATTATAAACAAGGTTTATCCGTGAAGCAGACAAGTTGCCTGTAACAGCAGCTAGTTCCCAAGATGCAATGTCAAGATTTGCTGGCTTGTATAACTTATTTCTGAAGGAAGATAGTTCTGTAAGTATCTAAAACAAGTAAAATGTGGTGGTTGAGAAAGTACTCCATACATAGAAGCTGACAGCATTGCTAAAAATGCCATCTGCATAACATCTGAAATGAGGCAGATGTGGATTAGTACCGTAAGTAATGAGTACTGAAAATAACTGTTTTCTGATGCATCCTATGCATCATTTTCCTGATGGAGATCAAAGCCTTTCTTTACCAATGACTATAAAACACCTGCCTCCCCTAAAAATGTTCAGATGGCATCTGTACTAGAGAGATGAATCCTTAACATCTATTTCCCTGAATTCTACATCCCATCACCATCATCCTCTGGTATGACCCATGCCTTCACTTCCAAATTGCTTTCTCCCTTCCTGTTCAGAATGTTGGTACTACAGGGCCACAACGATGACTAGAGGTCTGAAGCACTTTTGTGAAGAAAGGCTCAGGAAATGGGCTTTTTCAGCCTAGAGAAATCTGTGGGGTATTTAAATGGGGCCTATAAAAGAGTGGGAGACCTTTTTATACAGTAGGCAAGGGTTACTAATTTTAAACTAAAAGGAGGGAGATTTAGGTTAGATGTTAGATGTTAAATTCTTTTCTCAGAGGGTGATGGGGCACTGGCAGAGCTCCCCAGAGAAGCTGCCCCCATCCCTGGAGGCACTCAAGGCTGGCTTGGATGGACCCTGGGCAGTCTGAGCTGGTGGGGGGGCAGCCCTGCCCACGGCAGGGAGTTGGGGTTGGGTGGGCTTGAATGTCCTTTCTAATCCAAGCCATACTATGATATAAAAAACAGGCTGCTATAGGAGATTTAAACTGTGTCACAGTGTAATGTGATTCATGTAAAAGCAACAACAAGGCAGACTTTGTGTCGCCTCTCAAACACAAAACTTCTGGATATGTCACTTATCCCTTTGCTCCCCAGGCAACAAGACACTACCTTGCTAAACAGCAGCAATTTATGTATTGTTTCATTTTCTGAACAAGACCCTTCTTCCTTTTCTGCACTTTCACTGAAGTTCTCCAACAAGGACAAACTGGAAAGGGTATTTACTGTCACTGATGTGCTTTATTTGCTATTTTGCCCCCCTCAGACTGCCAATTTACCAGAAGCCACAAGATACGAGTAATTATTCTCGATCCTTTCTCTTTGCTTCATTAATTTTCCACTAACCAATTTTATAATCTCCAGCACTAGTAGAGAGTGTCATCATATGTCAAAATATAAGTGAGAAATATGCCAAAATAAGCTTACATTCATAAGAGATGGTGGAAAGACCACGTGCAATCTTAAAAGCAATATTTTCTTATTGCAAACAGGGAACAGTCTATTGTCCTTTTCCTTACCACATACAACTCCACAGTCAACATATCCAACAGTCTTATTTGAGATAAAGTTTTTAAGAAAATTTTAGGAAAAGAGAATGAGATCCATGGAATTAATGATGTTGCTTCAAGCAGAGAACCTTGAAGGAAAGAAGTGCAGGAGGATGATTTACTACAGCAATCACAAAGACTCTGAAAGGAATACATGGCACTGAAATCAGGCTCCTTAATTTTATTCTCCGGCTTATCCGCCTGACACTGCTCACAGTCATAACTGGTATTGCTACAGTCACTGAAAACTGCTTTCGCCCATCAGTTCATAGGACTACAAACATAGAAGAGACATTGTATTTGTATTGATGAGAGTGATGCTCACAGAACACTCATTATGGGGCTGGTTCAAGACATCCTCAATGCCAGCTGACAACAGTTCAGAAATAGCACTGACAAAACAGATGAAAGACAAAGACAAAGACAAAGACAAAGACAAAAGCCATGAGAATCTGTTAATTCGACATCCTTTAGTTCTGAAAATCATCTCACCTAAAATCAGGTAGTATGGCATTGCTCCATAGGGTACTTGTTCCAAATGTCTCAGGGGTATTTCAAATGAGCAGAGAGCTTCGGAGTAGTACCTTAAACAAGTGAAACAGAATGGCACACCTAGACATCAGTTTGGCAGGGAAATAATGCAATAGAACTGAACTTGTTTTTTAAACATTTTCCTAAAATCTGAAGAATTATGTCTGTCGTACATTGATACTCCTAACCAGGCTGTCATCCCAGGTTAGAAAAAAAGAGCAATAATAAATTGTCTGGCTAATTTTGTTGTTTTCTGCCCTCAATGATTATACCTGAGAGTAAAAAACAGATAAAATCTGCTGACAATGGACGAAACACACATGGCTTCATCAAAATACTAAAAGCAAAGCAAAGAAAAGAAAAAGATAGTAGTAATTGCAGGATTGTGTTTGCATCGAGTGGACAATAGGTAAGAAATAAGAAAGCAACAGAATATTTGAAATGACGTTTTTTTATTTTTATCTAGTGAATGACAAAATAGTATTACATCTATCCTGGGCAATGAGTCTGTATGAAACAGATCTTTGTAATGAGTCCACAGAGATGTAGATAGAGATGATTATGAATCCACACAGCTGCTTTTATCATCAGCTTTAATAGGAAGTAAAGTTAATACTAAAGCCAGTAATACCATCAACAGTGATATCAGTACAGTGTCAACTTTCACCAGTAGTTTTATGAAATAAGTACATGAAATAAGAGCGAAAACTTTAAGAAAAAAGCAGTTGTTTTTTAATACACACATACATACATATCACATTATGCACCATATTTATGCTGTGCTCATGTATGTAATAAAACAAATTTCTGAATCCTGCTCCTTTTTTTTTTTTTTTTTTTTTTTTTTTTTTTTTTTTTTTTTAGTGGTGAAGTCCAAAACTGGAAATAAGTATATTACTTATACACTGAGCAAAATAAGGATATCTTAACATGGACTGTGATCATTTCTTGTTTTCACAGGGCTTTCCAAATTAATTTGTCAGACTTTAGATATTAAAATAATATCCATGCTATTTGAGTAAATATGTTGTACCCCACTCCAGACTGTGAAATAATTACCTCCTCCAACCTTTTAAGCTTTTTTTTTATCAGTAATTTGTGTCTCACTTGTGCTTAATCCTGCTCATCTCCGTGTCATGCTCTGTGCACTGCAGGGCAGCTCAATAACCCAATTGTTTCTTTTGTGATGAAAGGTTCAGCCATAATTTAGTTTCTGCTTGGCCAGCAGAGGTGGTAGCATGACACTGCTTGCTGAGTTTATTTTTCCTCTGACCCTTACTGTCAATAGTAAACCCAAAATAGACTTGTATCCCCCATGGCTTTGCTCTGAAGTTTGCTTGTCAGCCTAGCTGCCACTGATTATTAGGAACTGCTTCTTGTAAGTGATAAATACAAATCTCAGAGGAATGTTTTGTTTCATTGTTTACTTCTGCACTTAAACTAAAATCCTGCATTCACTCCTGCATTAAGGAAACACGTGTGCAGTACTTCAGTTTTGAAAGATTCTCATGGTAATATTTACAGGACTGTGTATTCAAAGTCCTCATGCACACACTGAAAAGACACTTTGAGGGCAAATACAACTTCTGATCCAGAACTAGGAAATGAGTGAACTCTGTTCATCTTTCTTCTATGTGTCAAACAAGCGATGATTCTCAGAGGCAGCATCTTCATTTTCCTCCAGGTTTTATCCAAGCAGAAGGCAGCCAACATGTTGCTTCATACTGAACAGAGTGCCATAAAATTACCCAGTGGTAATTACCTTACCTTCATAAAAATTCTCTGTCTACAGTAAATTACCCAGCAGACCTCAGAAAAAATTAATTGTGTAAGCCTGCCCCAGAGGCTGCTTCTGAAGCTTTAAAGTGAAATCAAATCATTTGAACTTCAAACCTAATCATCGTGATTCTAAAATGGCAGCTGTGATGTGATCTGTGCTAACGGACATGGGGAAATTCTGTTCAAAAGCTGACCACACTCCCAAATGACAGCACTAATAAGCTAAATATGTGTTATGTAAAGAAGTGTCTAGAGAGG